TGCAAGAGGGGCTCATCTTATGCGAAATAATCGTTATGCGAATGAATTTTCCCCATAAGAAATATGTAAATAAAATTAATCCGTGCCAAGACGCGCCCAAAAGTATGAAAAAAATTTTTTTTTACCACATGAAATGTTAATTTTAATACACACAAACTGAAAAAAAGGCATGCACAATTAAATTACACTTACTTTTATTGAAATCTGGTGATGATTTATGGGATGTGAGTAGGGGAGAGCATTATCTTCTATACTGTTTAGAAGGGAATCCCCCTTCCATTACGAACTTGAAGGTAGCAAGTCCTTTCCGGGGTACTCCCTACTCTTTTAATGCCACTAGGACCCAGCTTGAGAGTCACTGGACCTCTGTCGCACAACAAACGGTCCATAAGCCTGGACCTTCCCGTTTCCTTACGGTTTGTCTAAAATGTGCCCCACAACATTGTCACTGAAATAGTCCGACCAGCACGGCATGCAACAGCTGTGTCAGTGATTTTCATCATAAAGGTTGCAGTTCAACCACTGTGCACACATTTCCTTAATCCTTTGAAGTAGGCACAATGGATTCCACAACTGGCATAGGCTTCTCAGGGTTAGCCACCAAACCTTCAAAATCTTTCTTAATTTTCCATACTAATTCTCACCCTTTTTTTACCACAGGGTGGCACTAGAAGCTTTCCTTGGGGCCCATGGGTCACTGTATTTTTCCCAGAAACAGCACCGAAAACACTGTAATAATACGAAATAATCCGAGTGTATGTCTTGATGTTACCCCGCGGAGGTGGCTGGTAAACAATGGGACGGCCGCACAATGTGAGCTGGCTGATGCACATTGGACCGTCCCGGACGAAAATCGGTAAGCGGGTTTTTAATCGTATGCGCGGCCAAAATATTGCGATAAAAGTAATTGTTGATCGCGGAAAAATCGCTATGTGATGCCATCGTTATGCGGGGGTCACACTGTAGATCAAAGTTTTTTTTAACACAATTTCAAAATGAGAAAAACAACAAGAATATCTACTTTTTTTGCAACTTTCAAATGTTGAAAAAACAAATTAACTACATGTTTGGACCGTTTATGGGTTAAGTAATTAAGGAAAAAATATTTAATTTCAGCCTGATAGAATGTTGTAGAGAGATTGGTGCCACATGGATGTGTGTGTGTGCAGAAACCCAGAGTTATGAGAACATTTGGTGCTCTTCAAGTGTATGCAAAGTGTGTGTGATAGTGGAAAATTGTACATATATATGTAATATTTTGCAAATGGTGTTGAACAATTGCATCAGCACTTGAATTCACATTGATCTAGACAGTATTTTTTTCCAAGTGTATTGAGTGTTCATAATAGTGGGCAATTGTGCACTTGCTATTGGCTATTTGCAAATGCTATTGAAAACTTGCTTGAAATAAAGGTATACTTATCTATAAAGGTATTTTCATGCTCTGTTTTCAATTTTGAATGTACTTTTTTTTAATTGTATTTGCAAATATTGCAGGATAATATATAATAGAAGTTACAGCAATTTCATATATCTATCCAGGATTACTTGTTTGGCTGTGTTGTCTCCGGTCCTCTGAATTCTAAGTATTTGTGTTTCTTGAATACAGGAGGTCCCCATGTATCTTCCTCTTTCCAGTTTCGCACATTTCTGTTGGGTTTCAACTCAACATTGTTCACTAGATGTTAACATTGTTTAGTGCAGTACCATTACCTTTGAAGAGGCCATGGCCAAGGCTCGCAGGTACGGCCAGGTCAACCAGGCTCGTCTGGTACTTGCCTGGTTGACCAGGCTCGTCCAGGTACTGCCTGGTCAACCAGGGCTCGTCTGTACTGGCCTGGTCAACCAGGCATTCGTCTGGTACTGGCCCTGGTCGGAACCAGGCTCGTCTGGTACTGGCCTGGTCAACCAGGCTTGTCTGGTACTGGCCTGGTCACCTGGCTCGTCTGGTTACTGGCCTTGTCACCAGGCTCGTCTGGTACTGGGCCTGGTCAGCCAGGCTTGTCTGGTACTGCCGGGTCAACCAGGCTTCGTCTGGTACTGGCCTGGTCGACCATGCTCGTCTTGTACTGCCTGGTCCAACAGGCTCAGTCTTGTACTGGGCCTGGTCAACCAGTCAGCATGAGTTTATTATTTGTAAATGCAATAGGCACTAATTTCTTTAAACACATGGATTAAACGTTTGTCAGGGTTAATGAATATCTTTCTTTTGTATGAAACTACAAACACGTGCATCAAATTTTATCATTTCCTACAATCTTGTCATTGGTATAAAATAATCATTTATATTTGTGATTATAACAGTAAGTCCCCTTATGAAGCTCCTGCATTACAGTAGATTCCTTTTGTATATTTATTGAAAAAGTGGTCCAAATCAATGTTGCATGATAAAGTTCCTCCATGTTATGTATTATATAGTTGTGGATAAATCTTATAAGAGTTCACTGTGTAACAAGTCTTAATATTACGCTGGGTTGGTTAATTGTTTATTAAACCATACTACAAGGCGGGGATAGAAACCTGCGATCACACAGTTTAAACCATACTTCACAGCGGATAGAACCTGCATCACGTCATAAAACTCCATTTTACGATTTTCGTGAGTTAACATATGTATTGTTTCGCTGATCACTATGCACTCAGCTCACACACTGAGGTCCAGGATCAATCCTCGGTATGGCTGGAAAACATTAGGAATAAGTTTCCCTTAACACCTGCTGTCCATGTTTCACTCCATCAATAAATAAGACCTGGTGTTAGTCCGACTGGTGTGGGTCTCAGACTCTGGGACAAAATTGACACTAATTTGGCAGGAAATGTTCTGCCTAAATAAGGGGCTTTTCTTTATATAGTACATTGGACCCCCGCATACCGACGCATCACATAACGTTCATTCCGCATACCGCTCGCTTTTAATCGCAAAAATTTTGCATCGCATACCGCTCAAACCGCACACCGCTCTTCGTGCCGAGACGCGTCCAATGTGCGCCCTTAGCCAGCCTTCACATGTGCCCCGTGGCCATAGGTTACCACCTGCCTCCGCGTAACATCAAGCATACAAACGGAACATTTCGTATTATTACAGTGTTTTTGGTGAATTTATCTGCCAAAATAAGTGACCAAGGGCCCCAAGAAAGCTTCTAGTGCCCTAACCCTACAGCAATAAGGGTGAGAATTACTATAGAGCATAAGAAAAAGAACATTGATCAGTATGAAAGAGTAGTGCGTATCTCCGAGTGGCCAGGTTTTTTTATAATAAACCCCAATCACCATCTCTACTATTGGTGGTACAGCTGTGCTCTGCTGTACCACCGTCAGCTGCTGCTGCTGCAACTGTCCAGCTGCTGCTGCTACTGTACCACCGTCAGCTGCTGCTGTAGTACCGGTCTGCTGCAGCTGAGGCATCGTCTCTGCTGCTTGTATCACCACTGGTCAGCTGCTGCTGCTGCAGTACCACCATCAGCATGCCCTTGCGTATAACCAGTCTGCTGCTGCTGAGCACTGTCATCTAGCTGCTGCTGCTGCTGCTGTAGCACACACCGTTGTTGGTGTGGCTTATTGAGACTACCAAGAAACAATAAACCCCAAGGATTGCCACCCAGGATAACCCAAAAAAGTCAGTGTGCAACGAAGACTGTCTAACTTATTTCCATTTGGGGTCCTTAATCTGTTTCCCAGGATGCACCCACACCATCGACTAACACCCAGGTGAACATGGAAAGAAATGCTGGAACTTAGTGCTCCATAATGGTGAATTTAAAGCCAGAAAAGTTGGTTGAGAAGATTTAAGAATCGTAGTGCATACACAGTGTGATAAGGCCTGTTCTGGAGGCAAAAAATGCCAAACAGGACCTACATTACTCAGGAGAGAAAAGGCACTCCCAGGACACAGTGCCATCAGCCATTGCTGCATCTTCAATAAAGTAAGTGTCATTTATTCTTCCATTTAGTAGATGTAAGTACATGCACATATATATTATGCATGTACTACTCAACTATTGTGCCATGATCCTTCTCTTTGAGGTAGGGAAAATGTATAATTTCATGTGGTAAAAATTTTTTTTCATACTTTTGGGTGTCTTGGCACGGATTAATTTGATTTCCATTATTCTTATGGGGAAAATTCATTCCATACGTGATCAACCATCATTTCGCAAAACAATGCGCCATCTTGCCAACGATTAAAGTCGCTATGCGGGGTCCACTGTATGGCCACTGTGTCCAGCTAATGTCTGTATACCTTGCATATGTACAGTGAACCCCCGTACATTGGACCCCCCCGACTACAAACAGCTCCAACTCAGCAATTATTAAGTGTATTTTGTAAGTGCTTTGTAAGTGTATTTTTTGGGGGTCTGAAACAGACTCATCTAATTTACAATATTTCCTATATGGGACAAATTCGTTCGTAAACGGCACCCGAACAGAATGACTTGCTGGAAGGAATTAATATTGTAAAGTCGGGGTCCACTGTACTTGTAGAAATAAAGATTATTATATATTATTAGAACTCCCAGAAGAGACTGTCATACACTATGTTGTTTTGGCAGCCCGCCAGTCACTAATCTAATAAACTGCCTATAACCTATAACATTACTAGACTGTAACCCAAATTAATTTTTCCTAGTCATTCTTGTACTGAATTAAACTCAAAAAATTGAATGTCATCTAAAGTACAAAATAGTAACCATAATGTCCATCTGATGTACAATGAATAGTAAACCATAATGTCATCTGAATGTACTAATTAGTACCCATAATTCATCTACTGTACAAAATAGTAACCATAATGTCATCTAAAAGTAGGCAAAATTATAAACTCAATAATAACATCTACTGTACAAAATTTATTATTTTAAATTATTTTATATTAATCATCGCCATTTCCCACCAAAGGCAGATGACCCAAAAAAAGAAGAAACACCATTCATCATCACTCACTCCATCACTGTCTTGCCAGAGGTTCGTCTACACTACAGTTAAGGCAAACTCAACATCAACCCCCTTCTTCAGAGTACAGGTACCGTACTCCCACCTTCCTGGACTCAAGTCCAGCTTCCCCAATTTTCCTGAATTCCTTCATAATATGTAATTTGCCACACTCCAACAGCAACGTCAAGTCATAAAAACCATTTGTCCTCCAATCACTAGTCCTAGCTAACACTCTCACACACCCTTGCTGAAGTCCCAAGCACCCTCACAAACAAAAACTCTCTTTTACACCACACCCCTTCTCTCCAATCATACCTAGGTTGACCTCTTTTACAGATTTAATACAGTCTGCAAGTCATTCTGTTTTGTTCCATCCTCTCTAAATATCCTAACCACCTCAAACGCCCTCTCCTCAGCCCTCTTGATAATAATTTTTTAGTAACCCTGCACCTTCTCTTAATGTCCAAACTACAGAATTACTACATTTTATTCACACCGCAACATTGCTTCAGACTACATAGTACCAACAATATAATCTAATGTAAAAATAGTACAAGAGGGGGCCCTCCTGCATTATGTGTGTTGCTAATGCAGCAGTTTTTTCAATTACAGTGTGTACCCCCGAGTTTTCGGGCATAATTCGTTCCCAGAACGGCTATTCGAATGCCGAGCTGTTGACTGAACGAATTTGATTCCCATAAAAATAATGGTAATTTGATGAGTCCATTTCAAGACCTCCAAAAATAGTTACAAAGCACTTACAATAATACACTTACAAACCTGTTCGAGTAGAGCTGTATGAAACTCAGGTACCACTGTAATATCACCTTCATCTTCACCTGTTTTCCGATTACCTAGCAGTAAATAGTACCTGGGTGTATTGGTTCGACTGGTGAGATCGCAATCCTGGAGGACAAGATAAAGATCCCAGTGAATAGCTACAGTCCTTAATGACTTTACTAGGGTTATCCAGGTGGGCTAACCCCTGCGGGTTTTTAAAAATCTTAAGAAAATCTTATCTTGTCCCCCCAGGATTCCATCCCCACACACAGTCCACTAACACAACACAGGTACCTACAACTGCTAGGTAACCTAGGGACAACAGTGTAAGGCAAACCGCCCAATGTTTCCACTCTTTCCGCTGATTGACCCCTAGACCTAAGTGTGTCAGCTGAGTGCTTTACCAATCCAGCTACAGGGCAATGATACACAAATTATTATACATTAGTAACATATGTGTAAATTATCAAAGATAACCTAAAAAAAGTTTGACAAAGTGACTATGTTTCCACTGTGGTTCTTGTAATATCTTATTATTTAAACCTAACGTATGAACCACAGCCCAGCTGTGGAGTATACCCTCTTCAGGTATACTCCACTCCAGGTAATTAACCAAAAGAGTTACTAAAGAACGTCAACTACTGTGTAATGGAACTTAAATTTCTCCATCACAATTTTCAATACCACTCACTCTTGTTTATGTATAAATTACGAATAAATCAATAAGAATGTATTAATAAGTAAATCCTTTGATTGATGGGGCAAACTACATGACTCACGAAATCATAATAACACGATTGCAAACGAACTATTGAATAAGTGGGATCTGAACCCATGGCCAGTGAGTGGTAAAACTCCAGGCCAGTGTGTAACCACTGGGCCAGCTGGCCAAGTGTCTCACACACTGGCCTGGAGTTTTACCACTCACTAGCCATGGGGTCAAACCTATTCATTCTGTGGTTTGGTCAGCTTCATTCTTTGTATTACAGTTATTTCTTTTTTTCGACATTGTTTTGTGGAATGTTTTCACTGAGCAGTTGTGAGACATGCTTGCCTCTACTTCCAAAGCAATGATTGTAATTATGATCATAATTTTTAAAGGGGTGGACCAGTAAGCCAGCAGAAGGCCTCAGTCAGATGACCAAAAAGTTCCAACGGCGGGTCACCATATGACTAAGACTCACTTCAGGAAACACTTGTCCTGTTTCCTGGCAAACCTTACCTAACCCAAGACACACATCTAACAGTGGCTGAGTAAGGGTATGCTAGGTTATTTTAAGTTGGGCTGAGTGGGTTTCATTTGGTTAGGTTACATTTTATGCATTTGTATAACAAAATAATAGAGAATAAAAAGGCACAATAATATCTCAACTGTAAAACAAGCTTAAAATTGCACAAGTCAGACTATAAATGGCCAAAATTCACTGAGTATCAGGCCAAGTTTTTAACCTATTTACTCCTGTGTTACATTCATCACCTATCATTCTGTAACTTTAACACTAGTAGCTGTTGTATTATACAATTCAATATTTCTAGATTCAGTATCTTGACAATAAGTTTATATTTCAGAAACAACTTCAGTAAAGAAGATTGAAACCCTGTGAACCCTTATTGGAGAGCTGTGTTAATCTCTTGCAGATAATGAGAGGTGGAGACACTCCACATCCTTCTCATGTATAATGAAGCAGTACTGCTGTAATGCTCTGACTGATGAGCAGTATTGCTGCCAGCAGGAAGAGCTGGCACATCTGGCCAACACTTGTGCTACATACTTGGAGTCCAGCAGAAAGTAAGCAGTTGCTCTGAATAATACAGACACACTTCATTAACATGGTGCTCGCTTTACAACGCCTTGCTAATACACTTCTTTCCAATTATATTTGTGTTTATTATTTTTCAGTGCTTGCCTTGCTATTTATAACAACATTATCAACTAGTTGTTGCTGTTTCCTTTAATCTGCTTCTTTGTGTAGATCAATAAACATGTTTTCATATATGTTTTAAAGTCTACATATTTTTTTTAATCTTTTCATTGCATTTCAGTGTGTTTCACTTCCACTAACTTGGGATTGTTGTTTTCATGTCTAGTTTGTTTTCCCTGACATCTCTTAGACTGGTTAATTTGTTTCAGTGGTGAGTCAGTGTGTCTGGGATAGTTTGTTGGCATGTGATGATTTTACTTAGCTCATCAGTTGTGCTAGTCAAGGTTTTAAGTGCAGTCATTGTAGGCTTCACACAGTCATTGTAGGCTTCATGCAGTCATTGTAGGCTTCACACAGTCATTGTAGGCTTCATGCAGTCATTGTAGGCTTCACACAGTCATTGTAGGCTTCATGCAGTCATTGTAGGCTTCACACAGTCATTGTAGGCTTCATGCAGTCATTGTAGGCTTCATGGAGAATTTCAATTTTTTTTTTATTCAAGTTTTTTATTTTAAAGTTCCCTTGGGTTCATTTGAAAAAAATAGCCAAAGCAACCCCAAAAAAGTTGAAATAACCGATTCTAAAAAAACCATGAAACAGGAAGGGTTTTTTAAAACCCATGGCAAGGGGCCGGGATTTTTTTAGAACTCCCCTTGCCCATGGGTTAAAGACTCCATCTCCCTCTGTTTCTTTTCGGGCCAAAACTGTTTTTTGTCTTGAAGAGCTTCTCAAAACTCTAAGGGAAATTTAAAAAACGGGTGATTTTCTTTGATTGGACTTTTTTATTTTGGGTTTGAGATTTGGTCATTTTGAAGGGAGCAATGACGGAGGCATCGGGCCCTCGGGCTTTTGAGGGAAAAGTTGTTAAAGAAAAAATTTTTTTTTCACCTGTAGTAATCGACATTTTGCAATTATTGTTCCCCGGTTCTCTTTGTCTTTTTCCTGTGGGATTTTTGAATTTGTGCTTTTAGGGCATGTAATGATCCCCCCCCATCGTTTTAAAAAAACCCGCCTTTTCCCGGGAGTGGGGGTTTTCCCGTCCCGGTGGTGATTTAAAAACCAAAAACTTTAATTTTGATTGCTCTTTGGGAAAAAATTTTGGGTTTTTTTTCCCCAGGTTTTTGCTTTAGGTTTTTCCCTATCCCTTGTTTTCTAAATGACTCTTGTTTGGGACCATTCTAAGAAAACCCGGTTGATAATAATTAAAAACAAAAAAGGGGGTTTTCCCCCCCCCCCCAAGTGGAGCAGGTTTTAAAATTTTGTGAAAGGGGGTTTAGAAAACCAGTTTGCTGGACTTTAGGGCCCCGGAGGAGTGGGATAATTTTCTGTTTGGAGTACAAACTGAAATGTCATTTCTGGGGACTTCCCGCAAAGACACTGATGAGTGTGAAAGATATTGAAAGTGTTTTAAAGATGGGGAAAGTTTTTTTTACTTTTTCTTGGGTTTTCCCCGGCCTTGGGGGGAGACCCGGGCCCCAAAAGTTAAAAAATAATAATAAGAAAAAAATCTTTTGAATGAAAGTTATGAATTTTTATAATGAAAAGAAGTTGGATGGGCCTGGGCCCAAGCGAAACAAACTGAAGGGGGGAGGAGAGTTTCATGGGGGGAAATAAAAAGGGGTTAAATCTTGGAAAAATCTGAAAAGAGTTAAAAGCAAAGGAAGGGGTTTGCAGTAAGGGGTTTAAAAGATCAGTTTTTTGGAAGGGGAAAAGAGAAAAATGAATGTGGGAAAAATTTAAGAATTAATTTTGGGTTTAAAATAAAAATTGGGCGAGAAGTGGTCATAATAAGCGTGTATGCACCTGGAGAAGAGAGGAATGCAGAGGAGAGAGAGAGATTTTGGGAGATGTTAAGTGAATGTATAGGAGCCTTTGAACCAAGTGAGAGAGTAATTGTGGTAGGGGACTTGAATGCTAAAGTAGGAGAAACTTTTAGAGAGGGTGTGGTAGGTAAGTTTGGGTGCCAGGTGTAAATGATAATGGGAGCCCTTTGATGAACTTTGTATAGAAAGGGGTTTAGTTATAGGTAATACATATTTTAAGAAAAAGAGGATAAATAAGTATACACGATATGATGTAGGGCGAAATGACAGTAGTTTGTTGGATTATGTATTGGTAGATAAAAGACTGTTGAGTAGACTTCAGGATGTACATGTTTATAGAGGGGCCACAGATATATCATATCACTTCTAGTTGTAGCTACACTGAGAGTAAAAGGTAGATGGGATACAAGAGAATAGAAGCATCAGAAGAGAGAGAGGGTGAAGGTTTATAAACTAAAAGAGGAGGCAGTTAGGGTAAGATACAAACAGCTAATGGAGGATAGATGGCTAAAGAGAGAATAGGCAATGGGGTCGAGAGGTTTGGGTAAGGTTTAAAAAATGTATGTAGAGTGTTCAGCAGAAGTTTGTGGTTACAGGAAAGTGGGTGCAGGAGGGAATAGGAGCGATTGGTGGAATGATGATGGAAAGAGAGTGATTAAGGGAGAAAAAGTTAGCATATTGAGAAGTTTTCAGCAAAGTAGAAGTGAAGCAAGGAGGGAAAGTATATGAGAAAAAGAGAGAATTTAGAAGAGTGGTGAAGCATGTAAAAAGAGAGCAAATGAGAGAGTGGGTGAGATGTTATCAACAAATTTTGTGAAATAAGAAAAAGTTTTTGGAGTAGATTAACAAGTTAAGAAAGTGCCTATAGAACAAATGGATTTGTCATTTAAAAAATAGGAGAGGAGAGTTATTAAATGGAGAGTTAGAGTATTGGGAAGATTGGAAGGGGGGAATATTTTGAGGAATTGTTAAATGTTGATGAAGATAGGGAAGCTGTGATTTCGGTGATAGGGCAAGGAGGAATAACAACTTGGTAGGAGTGAGGAAGAGCCAGTTGTGAGTGTGGGGAAGTTCCGTGAGGCAGTAGGTAAAATAATGGGGGTAAAGGCAGCCTGGGATTGATTGGATAAAGATAGAAAATGTTAAAAGCAGGTGGGATATAGTTTTGGAGTTGGTTGGTGCAATTATATAAAAATGTATGGAAGAGGTATGGTACCTAGGGATTGGCAGAAGCATGCATAGTTTCCTTTGACTAAAGGTCAAAGGGGATAAAAGAGAGTGCAAAAAATTATAGGGGGATAAGTCTGTTTGAGGTTACCTGGTAAAAGTGTTGTAAGTTTATAATTGAAAGAATTAAGAGTAAGACGGAGAATAGGATAGCAGATGAACAAGGAGGCTTAGGAAAGGTAGGGGTAGTGTGGAACCATGTGTTTACAGTGAAACATATTAAGTGAACAGTACAGTGACGCCCCGGTTAACGATTTTAATCCCGTGAAAGAGGGCTCATCGTTATGCGAAATAATCGTTATGCAATTAATTTTTCCCCATAAGAAATAATGGAAATAAAATATAATCCGTGCAAGACGGCCCAAAAGTATGAAAAAAAATTTTTTTTTACACAATGAAACTGTTAAATTTTAATACACACAAACTGGAAAAAGGCATGCACAATTACATACACTTACTTTTATAGAAGATCTGGTGATGATATGATGGATGGAGGA